CAAATGTACTATGAGTTATTTACTGACAGGGCTCTGGTCTTACTAGCAAAAAGGAGTCCAAATAATTCCCTGAGTTTTCAAAAAAATCATTATAAACATGTTCTTAAACACAGGAGAGAGACAGAGGCAATGAGGCAGCTGGTGGGGTTTCTGGTTTGTGACTCTTTGATTGATCGTTCACTACTAAGTCTGTCGGGTGCAGAGCTTTTTGACTCTCTGCTGTAAAAAAGGCCAAAAATCACAGGGAAGACTCAGCTAGCCTTCAGAAGGATACTTCTATCCCTTCTTTTCACAGATGGGTAGTACTGATGGGTGAAATGGTCACACCAGCCCTTTCTAGCCTGCTTACTCCTATGCATGGTTATTAGGATGTTTCTTAGCCCTTTTCAGGGGACACATTTCAGCTTGAGTAACTGTCTCTGCCCTCTCCTCCCTGGCCACAAGCAGTGGTATAGGGGGGGTTGGCAACCCCAGGGTGGCGAGAGGTGGGTCCTGATGCCCAGGGGTGACTCCTTCACCCTGATCCTGGCTTTGGGAAGAGCCCAAAAAGGGCTGTGGCAAAGGGTGTCCTCAGGGAGGTCACCACTGATGGGAAAGCCCACAGTGTCTTCCTCCCAGGGTTATTACATGTGGCAAACTGTTTGGGCCTGTCCATGGGGGCTCAGCACATGCGGCTGAGCTTTCCTGGCTTGCTATAAACTGCTCCTGGTATCTAAGAGAGCAGACAGCAATGAGAGGGTTTGGTGATGTCCATCCACGAAGAATGAGCATTTGTCATTTTAGGGAAATGTAAAATGATGGGGATACAGTTTTTAGCAGGGCGTATACCGATAGGACAAGGGGCAATGGTTTTAAACTGAAAGAGGGGAGATTCAGACTAGATATATGGAAGAAATTTTTTACAATGAGGGTGCTGAAACACTGGCACAGGCTGCCCAGAGCAGTGGTGGGTGCCCCATCCCTGGAAACATTCAAGGCCAGGTTGGACGGGGCTCTGAGCAGCCTGATCCAGTTGAAGATGTCCCTGCTCATTGCAGGGGGTTTGGACTGAATGGTCTTTGAAGGTCCCCTCCCACCCAAACCATTCTATGATTCTATAAAAACCCCTGGTTATGTCTGCCAATGGAATAGGGAAATTAGATTTACCAGCAAACTATACCAGAAGTTGGATTTATTTGATGAGATGAGTCTTGGTATTATTCACAAAGAAAAGGTGCACACCAGAACAATGATTTCTGTAAACCTGGGAATAAGCAGGCAGTAAATTTTAAGCTACTTTTTGAGACATCTGCAATGTTAAATGATTTTTCTCCCCTGCGAATTAAATTGCAAGGAAACTTTTTAATAAAAAACATAAATTCTGAAATAGATGTGAGAACATATGGAAGAGAAGTGTCAGGGAAAAAAAGAGCTAGTCTGCAAGAAAAAGTACCCAAACACGTCCAAAACCCCCTGTTTTTTCAGTTGGAACTCTAAGAAACCTGCCTTTACAGGAGAGCCCGCAGCCAGCAGCAGAGGGCGCTGAGATAAATTGATTTATTTCAAACTCCAGCCGCCAATAGAGATTTGCTGGGAGTTGGATATAGAGCGGTATATACTTTATTATAGAGACCCACGCTGGATTTAAAAGGCAGAGCAGGACTGAGGGTCCATTTCTGAAGCAGGACCTTGACTAGGTGCAGGCAAAGTTAAAAAAAAAAACAAAACAAAACAACAAACTAGAAACATCATATGAAATGAAAGCATAACTTGTTGAATTAAGATCGATTTTTTTCCTCCCCCCCGACTTTTTACCAAAGTGGCCATCAGGGTGTTCCAGGTCTTCTCCTTCCCAGGGCTATTCGTTGGGATGATTTGGATATTTAACCTAGGCTGCACACTGCATTTAAAAGTGGGGGGATAAAAGATTTATTCTAAGGTGGAGGTTCAGACGCTGAGCCGTCTGTTAAGGAAAAAAAAAAAAAAAAATCGGTGTAAATAAGAAGCTGCAGCTTTAGCCTAACGGAGGAAACACTGATAGCAGCATCATTTCTAGCAGAGGAAATGTTTGGCTGTTTGGAACTCCCAGCTATGTTCAGATGCAGTATCTGTAACACATTTGCTCAGTCTTTGTATACAGCAAGTCTAATAGATTGGTGGACTTTTATTTCAGGAGGTTCAGCCTATCAAACAGCTTGGTTTGGAAAGCAAAACAGATGCAGATGAGTTTTGGCTGTAGCTGTAATTGGTCTGAAGATCAGCCCTACTTAAAGGATGCTGGATGTGGGAGCAGTTTGGAAATCCTGTGCAGTGGACAGTTTAGTAATTTCCTCATCCTCTTTTGTCCTCCCCCCCTTTTTTTCTTTTTTTTTTTTTAAGGTTTGGAAGTAGAGTTTGTAATGGTCAGTTCTGAGTCTGAGTCTCGCATTTTGGGACCGGGCTTTACTGCGCATTTCGGGTATGATTTGGTGCAAGCCTTCCTCTTTGAAATCGCTAATTTAGGCTTAAGGGAGCTGCCGGGGCGGGGGGGCGGCGAAACACGCACCAAAAAATGCGAAGAACCTTCGTTCAATTCGATTTCCTAAATGATCGCTTGAGACACGTTTGTCGTGTTTTGCAAGTGCAAGCGAAATGTAATAACAGTGGGACTTGAAAACAAGAATTCACTGTCTGTGGCATTCTGTTAGCAAAGAGCCAGCCGTCGTCAAATCTCTTCCAGCTTCTTTTTTTTTTTTTTTTTTCCCCCCCCCCCGCCATATCTGACTTGGTCACTGAAGTGTTCCACTCCCCCAGGTAGCACGGCAGTTCATTGATAACATTGCATGAACTCTCCTGTTCAAGTTTGGACGTAGCTGTAATCCGGCTGCGTATAGCCAACGACACTGAACAAAAATTCTGGTGCCCCAGGAAGTTATATAGAGAGCATTCCCTAAAAAAATGTAGCAGATGAAGGGGGGGGGGGGGCTGCCTTGGAATCTCACACAGCCACATGCAAGCAGCATACACCCCTTCTCATCTTCAAGCATATTTTTTTTATTATTATTATTTTTTACACTATTGCTTGGCTGGGAATGGCCTGTCCAACCCACTCAGAGATGTGCCCTTTTCTCCTCCTCCTCTGTGCAGCGGTGGCTGTGCAGAGGGGAAAAAAAAACCAAAAAAAAAAATCCAAACCCTTTATATCTGCTTTAACAACTTCCATCCAGACGGTTGTCCAGCCTCTGCTATAATATCTGGCTGTTAGTTGTCTCCTGCCTTTTGAGGGTTGAGTTTTTAGAAGATGTACACTTTGAAACGGGGAGGGGAGGCGGGGGAGGCTGTAGAGGCTGAGGGAGAAGAGGATGAATTTCTACTTTCTGCTTGAATTTCAGGCCAAAGCGAAGAAAAAAGGAAAAGCCCACCCTTCCCACCAGCCAACCAAACACCAGCAGAAGTGTCTCCTGATGAAGTTCTCCTCGGTTTCGAGATAACATTTATATAAAAGCGTCTTTACCTGTAGGACCTTTGAAAGTACAAAGGCCACTCTGCACTTTCCCCTAGGATCCCATGCAGAATAACAAAGATTTGTAGGAACCTTATAGCCAGAGCTTGAAATTTCCAGAGACAGGACCTTGAATTTAGAAACACCTTCTTTCTCTCAGTCGCTTTGCCTCTGTGTCTCGCTTTTTTTTTTTTCCCTTTTTTCCCTCCCCTCCTGGTGCACCAGCCCACTGCAAAGCTCAATTGTTTCCTTTCAAAGGCAGAGATGGGCTCTGCTCGCCTGCAGAATAGGTCGCCTCTTTGCAGTACAACGTGTTAAAAAAAAAAAAAAAAGAAAAAAAAAAACGAAAAAAAAAAACACCACCAAAAAAACCGGACAATGGGAAGGAAGGTTTGCCTGGGGGGAAAAAAAAAAAAAAAAAAAAAAAAAAAAAAAGGTTACAAACGGTCCAACTCCTCCTCTCCCCTTCCAAACTGAGAGCTACCCGGGAAACGCACAAATCCAACTCTATTTTTAATCGTTTTCAGAAAGTAGCTAACTGCTATTCAAATGTGGGCAGAGCAGGGCTTGCTAAACTCCTTTTTTCCCCCTTCTTCTTCTTTCTTTCCAGAGAAAGTGTTTTCAAGTTATAAAATATACAGCTCGAGTCCGAAGTGTAAGGCTTTCAAATGAAAATTATTGATCTAAATTCGCTCCTTTTAGATTTGCTGGAATGTGCCTGATGAGAGACGCTGGTTTGGTGGTTGACTGCATATGAGAGGATAATTTCTGGACATGTAAATAAAAGCATCTTGCATGTGGGGAAAAGCATAATATCTCATTGTAAATGATGAATCGCCTAGTGCAGAGACAACCTATTCTTTATTTTAATATAAATAGGATCGAAAAAAATATTCATTAATTTCTCAATTCATTCTTTCTATCTATCTATCTATCTATCTGTCTACCTACTAAAATAGCGGGTATATGCACTATCTAATAGGTATATTTAATCACTGTACATCCACGTATATATGTGTAGGTGTATAAACATACATACAAATAGGCATTTATATACACTCCCATATAAATTGACCAGGTTTATATGTATCCATGCATATGTAACGTGTAGTATACATGTGCCTACAGACGCAAGAGTATATATAATTTACATATATAAATGTGTCAATTTATATATGTCTGTACATGGAACAAGTTGTATGTTCAGAGATATATGTGCATGTATATGTACATCTGTGGACGTGCAGCTGCGTGTATGTATATATCTTTATATGCCTGCACATAAGTCTCAGTCTATATATGTGTGTATATGTATATATATAGTCACATATATGTCTGTAGATATATGTAACTATGTAACAGATAATGTTTTTTACTATCCGACCGAGGTAGACTTCTGCAGCCTATTGTTTCAGACAACAGATATAAGTTGCGATGGAAGAGGAACGTCGGATTTGGTGTCTGTCCCCCATTTCCAATTATAGATGGATCATTACAGACAGAGAAGTACTGAGAATCCAGACATCTGCTCTTCACATGAATGCACTCACCTCCTAGAGAACAGCCTGCCATCATGCTCTGGAAACTGGTTGAAAATGTCAAGTATGAAGATATCTACGAGGTGAGTATATAATATGCATATGAGTAAGAGAGTATATGTATATTTAAATATACACCTAGTATAGAGATAAAGGCATGACTATATAATACATATATAGCTCTGCATACATATATAGGCAGATACAGAGATGCATACACCAACACACACGAGTATAGAGACGGGAAACCAAGAGTAAATGCTTAAATGCTTATTTATTTGCATATTTGTATTCAGCATGCCAAGTCCTAAACTTTTTTTTTTTCATGGAAAAGCTGTTTGATGCGATTTAAAACATCAAAGAAATGATCTGGGGGTTGGAATGAGGCAACTTAAAGGCAAGAGTTTGATTGTTTAGACCTCGAATTAAATATAATTCGATTAAATTTGGACAAATGTCGAGGGGGAAAAAAAAGCTGAAAATAGAAGAGAAACACAATCTGGTATTCAGGGACTGGATACGTTTCTTTCTTTTCTTTCTTTCTTTTATTTTTTATTTTGCACTTCCAAGCTAAGCTCAACCTGAATTTGGATTTTTGGTTTTTTTCTTTTTCTTGTTTTCACAACCGGATACATTTTTTTACGACTTTTTGTGCCTATATACCGACAGATAAGATGTGTACGAATACATATGCTCGCATTAATGAAGCGGCACATACATTCTTGCACGTCTGTGAGTACGCACACCCGAATACATTCAAAGGCTCCGCATAGTCCGCGGCCACGAAAAGTTGTGCGCTTTATTCAGACCGCCGCGTTATTTTCCAGCTTAAAAAGCAGAGCAAAGGAGGGGGGGGGGGGAATTTTTTTAAAAAAAACAAAAGGGAAAGACCCCGGAACCCTGCCTAATTT